ATATGATAGGATCAGACGGGGCCAGGGTTGAAAAGTCGCGAAGCGGCTTTTCAACCCTGGTTAAATTCTATAATCACCGCAAGATATCCCGAGCCTATACCCAACTAATCTCCAAAAAGCAAAAAGTTTTGCGTTCGGGGGGAATCGAACCCCCGTCGAATGCTTGGAAGGCATCCATGCTGACCATTACACCACGAACGCGGCTGGGTGGGGGTGCCACAGAAGGGGCTATCTGCCCATGGATGCCATGGGCTTTCAAAGGATTGACAGAGAGCATTTTTATTAATACAGGAAAGAAAAAGTATAAAACTGTTGTAGAACAAGAAATTGGAGGGAGATGAAGTCGGGAAATTAAACATATGAGCGCGGCAGTCAATAGGGCCTATGAAAATTGGCATCAGCGCCATTTTAGCCGGGAGGTGTGGCCCGATCTGTCGGTTCGTCGAGCCGGGCTTCCTGATTCTGTCGATTCTTCCTAAATAAACAATTTGAGTAACTTTGCCGAGGTAATTTGATAGTTGTGGATTTCCTTAGACTTCCGAATCACAATCGTAAAATCGCCTATCCAAACGTATCCAACGTACCAATAGTGACGGACCAGCAAGGCAACACCAACCCCGACCACAACAACATCGGTATGGGTACTCAGCGCCGGAAACACGCGCTGAAAAATCCATGCGCCGGTGCCAAGCAGAGCCCCGAGCAGATGTCCTGGTGCTGGTCGCCAAAGGTCCATGTCCTGTAAAATAGAGATAACTGTGTAAGATGTAACTAAAAAGATCTAAGGTGAGAAATGCTAAATCAGAAGCGTGAAGGGTCAAACATATTAATCAAAATGGGAATCGGTCAAAAGACTGACGAAACTAGCTTCAACTAATCATGCCTTTGCTAGGTCACTGTTTCAGACAGTCGCCGAAGTCTGCCATCTGGCGACGGTGAGCCCTAGGGTGCAAGTCTTTAATGCAGGTTCGTTAATGAATCACCTGGTCTGAAGTTTAATATTAAGCCTCAAGCTGATGTAACTAGGCGCTGCGCACAATTATTGTTTTCCATACTCCGCACCTCCTTATCGTGAGGCTATTAACAAATTTTCAAACTAGCGAAACACGTACCGATTTCCCGTCAAATCTCCGAAAAATTCTCTCCAATTTTACTGAATGCTATTTCTCAAAAGTAAAAGAAGGTTTTTCAAAGATCTCTTATTCTTGAAAAAGCGATCAAATAAAATTTGATCATCACCGTAGATATCCCAAGCCTGTACCCAAATAATGTCCAAAAAGCAAAAAGTTTTGCGTTCGGGGGGAATCGAACCCCCGTCGAATGCTTGGAAGGCATCCATGCTGACCATTACACCACGAACGCAGCTGTGAGGGGTTACCAGAGAAGGGGCTATCTGCCCTCGGATCCCGAAGCCGCGCGCTCCGGATCGGACTGCCTATTATGCCTCCGCCGGGGATATGCGCTGGTAGAAGCCGGCCGAGCTGACTCGACAATAAATCCGAGGCAATGTACAAATACATTGTCAAATATCGGTAGTATTACGCATATATTTTTATTTCTAAAAATTACTAAAACGAACAATTTTTCTTCTGTGGCAGGTTCTAACGCTGTTTCTCTATCATTGAAGCCTGGAAATACACCAAATAAAAACTTTATTCAAAAACCCGTGACCGAAATCAAGTCAAACAATGTGAACTTTTCGGCAATCACCAGGGTGATGATGTCGAAATGGCCGATGTTTTGAGACGACCTCGTGGCCTGCGGTTCCTGTCGTCTCTCCTAAACACAAAAAATTTGTAAAAGGCGGCTCTGCACCGTGCGTGATGATGTTTTCGAAATGGACTTTTTGACTAATAAAGCGATAAGTAGCGAGACAGTGACTTTCGAAATGTTGGCTGTCGAGAAAAAACGATTTTAGGAGTATTGACTTTCGAAAATTTATACGGAATATCCTCTTGACAAATTTCTAAAAAGTCTAGTCATCAGCCAACAAACATTTTAAGATAGTGGTCCATATAATTAAGTTAAAGTAATCGCTAACATACCCCAGCAGACGTCGTGCGAACCGCTTAGCCGAGAGGAACCATACCGGGATGAAGAAGCCGATAACAAAGCACCACAGATCTCGTTCACTTGGCGGCCAAAGGGGCATCCACTGTAATTCGAGTATTACGGGGCGAAATTAGAGGTTTACAACACAGGAGAGAGGTTGGAGGATAATGTTTGTCATATGATTCCGCTTGGTTCGTCTAGGAGCTGACGGATAGTACGCCAAGGGTAGCGAGGCAGGCGCCCAGAGGGCCGCCAACGGTGGCTGGGGCACCGTTTAGGCGGCGGCTGCCGGCCCAAAGAGGCTAGGGGCCGCCGGGCGGAGACAGAGGGCATCTCTGGGCTCTCCACCACCAACCCACTCCCTCGCCTCTCGCATCCTGTTTGCGCGACACGAACACAAATGCTAAGGCTTGGAATGCTGTGTTAGTAAAAATATTCATTTTAAAAAGCTGAGGCTGGAGAAAAAGAAGACGAAACAAAAGAAGCGAAAAGCCTAAATGGTAAAAAACCAAATCAGAGAAAACTTTGTGATAAAGTAAAATAGGAAGACCTATTCTCATCCTTCCATACCAATAATTTGACGCTGAAAGTGAAATATAAGCCTTTATTTCAAGAAAATGGCGGGCATCGCAAGTCTGAACATTGTTCTTGTTCTCTTTCTTGTAATCGCTGTAAGATCTGTTTGCCTGTTTCGGCCCTAAATCCAAGACAGCCAAATTTACGTCAGGGTGGGTCTCCACAGCTGGATCCCTGACGTTTTAGAGGTTAAAGTGAAGAACTTATAAGAGAGGAAAATTGTAAAAGAATAGGAAGTAATGCTTCAAGAAGTAAAAGAAGCAGAAAATGACGGCAGTGTTCGCGTCGCGGCACTGTTCTTCCGAGCTCCCAGCTCCCGGCTCAAACTCTAAACTCTAAGGCCATAAAGGAGCCATTGTTCCATCCACTCGGCGCTTTCAGTTTCAAGTCGTAGTTCGGGGCACAGTACACATTTTTCGCGAGCACCGTTCGCAATTTCGCCCGCGCCACCTGAGCCACGCTTTTTGCCGCACGAAATGGATATGGTGGGCCTCGTAAAATTGACCAGAATCGGCCCACCCACCGCGATGCGAAGGGCACGGAAAAACACACGAATCGGCTGATAAGCCTCAGGTTCTGGAGACGAGACGACCCATCGTTCGGGTACAATTTGAGAGGGACGGTGGGGTACGGTGGAGTACGGTCCAAAGCACACAATGCGTACCTTGCGGAAAGCCGAAGGTTGACTTGAGCCAGACCTGTGTATGCGCCGAAGCCTAAAAGCTAAGCGGAAGCCTAAGCAAAAACCAGGCGTTACCTAAGCCTAAGCCTATGCCCAATCATAATCCTAAGCGTATGCCTATGCCTATGCCTAATCTAGCCTAAGCATGAAGCATTAAGCCTAAGCGTAAGTCCAACCCATACCTAAGCGTTTGGCTATACCCAGGCCCGTAGGAGGGGGGGGCCAGGGGGCCCTGGGCCCCCCCCCGAAATCGGTCGAGGTTCGAAAAATTCATAAGGGGGGACCCTTATGATTTTTAGTTACAAAAATTTTTCTGCCTGCGGCGCTGTTTATTACTGTTTTTCAAACAGTTTTTACTTATATGAAGCCTATTTTTTCAAAATTTTTTGCCTGCGGCGCTGGTTTTTCATCGGTGAATCAATTGTTCATAAAAAGTTTCGCCTGCGGCGCGTTTTCTGCTGTGTTTTCACATGAATTGGAGTGTAGGCGAACGCTTATTTGCGATTTTTTTGCCTGCGGCGCTATTATTGGCGCGAATTTCGGGTGTTTTAAAAGTGACGACCGGGGGGGGAGGTCGCCAAAATTTTTGGGCCCCCGAAATTTCGGTTCCGCTACGGGCCTGGCTATACCTATGCCTATACCTAACCTAGCTTTAAGCCTAAGCCTAAGCCCAACCCATACTAGGCCTAAGCCTAAGCGTTTGGCTATCCCTATGCCTATACCTAATCTAGCCTAAGCATGAAGCATTAAGCCTAAGCGTAAGTCCAACCCATACCTAAGCGTTTGGCTATACCTATGCCTATACCTAACCTAGCTTTAAGCCTAAGCCTAAGCCCAACCCATACTAGGCCTAAGCCTAAGCGTTTGGCTATCCCTATGCCTATACCTAATCTAGCCTAAGCCTCAAGCGTGAAGCCTAAGCCTAAGCCTAAGCCTAAGCCTAAGCCTACTGCTAAGTCCAATTTCCGACTTTTTGAATCAATTCTATGCATATTTCTAACTTTTTTCTGGAGATAGTTTGTCTCTACCGGGGATTCCTCGGCTTGACCAAAGTTTACCAACACCAAATATCCACACGAAAGACCACCACAAAGTCATGGGATCAAATTTCGCGGCTCAATTTTTGTGCTTTCATCTATTGAAAAGTGGGGGGGGGGGTGGGTTCAGGGCGTTTTTTTAGGGAACGCCGATAAAATGGCCCTCCCCCCTACCGCGTCGAATCGCCCCGGCAAAAAGTGGCCTATCGCCCTGGGCCCCCGCCATTTCGACGACATTCACACAAGTCGAAGCATATAAATAGTGAATGGGTTGAATGGGCGGTAAGAGCCCGATTTTTGGGTTATATTAATCTTTTTATCGGGGTGCTGGTGTAGGTCTTTTTGGAGTTGGGCGTATATAAGGGGAGTTTAAGCCTTTCTGGGGGTATTCGAGGTTTGCCGATTCGGATACTAAATAGGCACTGATTTTTGGAAAGTAAGTTTGTTTTTGGTGACCTAAAAATTGTTTTATTGACAGGATATCAGCTAGCCTGCCTTTGTTAAAGAACCTCTGCTAACATACCGGCTCATAAATCGAAATCCGTTGGGGCGCTCCACCCGAAAATTTTGACGATTTGGAAGAAAGTTCCGCGCATCCACTTAAAGTCCCGATCGTCAGCGTTCAAAGTATCATTTGCAGAATGCCGCTTAACATGGGGTTACTGCTGACGTTGGCCCTGCTGGTGGTCGCTGCTTCGGCTTTCAAGGTACGGTATTCCGGGCAAATTCTAGACGATTAAATATAGATTAAATCAATGAAAAGGTAAAAAAAAAGTTCTTACAGCGGGGTCCAGCGCAACGTCACCGCCGCGACACCAGCAGTAAGTTAGCGCGGGCATTTTAAGCTCTTTTTAGCTTTCTGCGGCATCGCCGATCTCAGCACTCTGTTGATGGATAATGTGCGTTTCGTCACCTCCAAGATTTTCCGGCATACAGCCTTTTATGAGCGAGAAATTTAGTGCCCGGATGCGTCGACCTTGCCGCTCGCGGGTCTGAACGGGACTTGCCTAACCGGGCCCGATCTGCTCGCGTCTGAGGATGACAACTGGTCGATCGCCTGCACGACGCCCGACTCACGAATGGTCATCTACGGGCCGTCGTGGAGCAACAACACCCATGGATACACCTACGCTGAGTAAGTAATATTGGGTTGGAACGTAAGTCTCTGCGCTTTTTTGAAAGCTCGCTGCTGGTCGTAATCGTGGACTTTGGACCAAGTGTTATATATCATTCGAAAGAGATTTCTTTTCTCTATCAGACGCCGGCGCTATTTTATTTTCTACGTCCACATTACTCGAAATTAATGGGTTAGAATGAAAATCGTCGCTTTCCTTTGAGCTCGATTTTGAGCACGACCGCTAGTATTTTTACATTTGACTTATTGGGCTTTGAAAGAGTTTTTATTTCTCTATTTTTTTCATGTAAATAGTTTATTTTTTAAAGAGCCTTTCACGCATTTTGAACAGCTCGGACAATTGACCAAAATCCGCCCTTCCTTCACTTGCTAATTTCTGCGTTAAAAACAATTATTTAGCACATCCCAAGCGCGTGCTCGGCTTTTCTGCCCATTTAGAAGAAACTACAACGTTCAAAATGATACAGAGCTAGCTTGAATTTTTTATGGAAAAACATCAACCAAGGAGAACCTCTGGTGCGATAATCTGAGCCCGGGTTTAGCGTAGACGAATCCATAAACCTGTTAATCTTTGGCAGCAAGCTGTAGTACTACTGGGTGAATACATAATACATCAAATTGAATTTGATAATTATGGTACGGAAAAATTTTGCATGGTGCGATCGTCGAGCCTTCGAGGGTCATTTTTGTCGATACTTCGTTCCCCGAAATCCATTTTACAATAACGCCTATAAAATAAGCGGCTAGTCGAGCCTTGTAGAGCAAAAAATGCTCTTTTTAATGGTATATTGGACACAGCAAAAAATTCCCGATTTCCGCGCGCAAATTGAGCTCGAAAATACGCAGATACTTACGTTCCAACCCAATATATGGCGAGGACTTCGGAATCAACCCTCAAGGCCCGCTCCAATAAGGCACTTCCAGCTACCTCTTCTGTAACGACGATGGAACGTCGATCGGCTCCTCGATGGACTACTGGATTACCACCAGCAAGTTCGTGCCCGGGCTCGACCACGTCGCCTGCTATCAGAGTGCTTCCGCCCAGAATGAGGCCCTGTTCCGTGCGTTTTAACCTAATCCTAAGACTTTGCTTTTTCAGATAAGTCAACCTGCGACGTTAGCCGCTTCACCCTGATGCAGAACTGGACGACGTGCCCTGACTTCAGCACGTTGGAGTATTACTACCCGAGGACCGCCACTACGGAACCGATCAATGCTACCGAGGCAGCCAAGCTCCAGATGTCTTGTGAGACCAACTACCTGACGTCGTAAGTTATGCGACCGACCGCCTCCACCCGTTTTTTTTCAGCTACTTCTACCCACGCCAGATCCTGACCGCCTTCCCATATTCGAGCTACTTGTACGTGAAGCTTTAGCTCTAACATTCCACTAGGGCTACAGAAACGTATTGATATTACAGCTGTGCTTCGGGAAGAACGTTCATGATCCGCGACAACCACGTGATCCCCCTCCGCATCATTCTCTGCGAGTCGACCCACTGGACGGCTGTAACGAACGATAACGTCCGCTTCACCATCAACACCACCACCGATTCCATCTTCTGCACGTTGCCGACGCAGATGGTTGGCAAGCGTAAGTCGCTAAAGCCAATCTGATAAGAAAAGAGCTGAAAAGTATAAATGACCAATAGCTTATACTTTCAGCGGTCACCTGTCACGACGTAATTCCGGCCAACGATTGCCCATCGAACATCACCGAGTACACTTCGGATCTGATGCTGATTCCCTATTCGATGCCCGGCCTGGTCCCTGCGAACCCGCAATGCCTTCAAAACTACACGATCTGGTACCGGGACCCGAATAACGGAGTGTCGAACCCGCCGTCATCCTTGTAAGTTTTTAACGTCTGGTTGGCGCTCACCTCGCCGCCACCAATCCTCAACTGCCTCGATTTTACACGATTTGCTATCATAATTTCGAAATTCGTAATCTTGGAATTAAGGAATGTCGAAATGTCACAATGTCCAAATTTCATAATGTCGAAATTAAAACCTTTGAAATATTTTGCATAAAAATTCTCCGGGTAATTTTGCTCATGTAAATTTTGGTCTTATGAACTTCGACATCGTGAATTTCGAAATTTTGAAAGAAACCCATTTTAACCCGTGGGTTTGTGTGTTTTTTTTTATTTCTGGGCATAGGCGTTTAGGAAAGATATGTAGTAAACCTTATATGCATTTCCAGCCTAATCCGTTGCTACCAACCGGGCACGGATCTCAATAGCCCGACCCGCGCCAACTCCAGGATGCTCATCCTCGTCGAAGACCACGGAAAGTACCACCTGACTCGCACCCTCGGATGCGGCCCTACTAAATTCACCCTTGATGAGCAGTACACCATCGGGATCTCGGTACGTTAAGGTCAACAAGTAGCGAGCTAACCTTTTAGGTTTAAGCCTAAGCGGCTTAAGTGCAGTTTTGCCCCCCCCCAGCCCTAACTTTTCAGCCATACGTCCTGTTAATGCGCCGAGTATCTCAAAATGTTCGCCGTGGTCGAATTACTATAAAAAAGTTGTTTTCTTACGTCAAAAATTGTTAGAAAAATTTTTATAACAATTATAAGTCTGGGTTTTCTTTAGTTAATTTTTGCTGTTCCAAAGTGAGTTTTCGTTTCTCGGCTATCTTTTGACGTACAGAGCTGTCAATAGTACCAAAATGTAGCTTAGTTTGAGCGAAAAAAATCGCGGAAAATAAAAATGTTTGAGTTTTAGACTCCTAGTACAGTAGCGTGCAAAAAGAAGGCAACACCCAGGACGCTCTTGTAACTCGGCTGCTTCGTTATATTTTGCACCAAACGAAATGTTTCCTAGTGTTTTCGATGCTGTAGAATTCGATGAGCAGGGTCGCAAGCCGCGCAAATGACGTTTAGTAGCTTAAATATCGAATTTAAAATAGCTCGAAAAAATCGACTTTTTCTAAAGGCATTTTTCCGTTTCAAAAACATCGCCATCGTGTTCAGCATGGTCGATTTACCCAGAGTGAATGTTTCTGGTTGCTTAGGACGTCTTCAGTCGGCTAGGAAGCTGCGATTAATAGGGGTCGCCATCGGTCTGATGGGGGCGCCTGCAATACCTTTCCCCCAGACGAGCCCACTCCTTGACCCGTTTGGCGCAGGGAAAACTCCGCTTCCCGGCTAGGCCAAGTCAAATCCCATCACAAACGACAGTGACTTTGGGTAAATCGACTATGCTGAACACGATGGTGATGTTTTTGAAACGGAAAAATGTCTTTAGAAAAAGTCGATTTTTTGGAGCTATTTTAAATTCGATATTTAAGCTACTAAACGTCATTTGCGCGGCTTGGGACCCTGCTCATCGAATTCTACAGCATCGAAAACACCAGGAAACATTCCGTTTGGTGCAAAATATAATGAGGCAGCCGAGTTACAAGAGCTTCCTGGGTGTTGCCTTCTTTTTGCACGCTACTGTACATCGAAGCATAGCAGCTTAATCTTTCCAACTTTCAAAATCTTGTAAAAAAATTTTTAGCAATTTTTGCCGCAAGAAAACACCTTGTTTGATAGTAATTCGACCACGGCGAACATTTTGAGATACTCGGCGCATTAATAGGACGTATGGCTGAAAAGTTGCGGCTGGGGGGGGGTAAACTGCACTCTAACCGCCTAAGCCTAAACTTCAAAGATGACTTTTTCAGCCTGAGGCTAGGTTCACCTGCGTCGACTCGCTGACCGCGTACGACGCCATGATGACGGCCAACGGTTACGATCCCTCCAACTGGGACTGGAACGCCTAGGCAACAAGAACTAGACAACAATTGTGCTTTAGGTGAAATAAATTTTTGCATAGCCTCCACTCGAGAATCGCCAATACAGACAAGACGGTACATCACTGGGCTAGGGGGAGCCATGCCTCAACGGCTTGTCCTAATATCTGGAGCTCTCGAAGACTTGATTTTCGAAAATGCCAACTTTCCTTTTAAGATAATGGTCCATCTAAGTAAGTTAAAGTAATCACTAAAAAACCCCGACAGACGTCATGCGAACGTCACCGGAGAGCCATATCGGAATGAAGAGGCCGAAAAAAGCACTACAGATCCCGTTCACTTGGCTGCCAAAGAGGCATCCACTATAATTTGAATATTACTGGGCCAAAGTCGGTATTTACAAAAATTGGAGAAATGCCAAAAAAAACAACGTAGATACAAATAAAATTAGAAAAAACAACGTCGAAAAAGATGCGGCCAAGGAAAAGTAGATAAAAAAGAAGCACTAAGCATCAAAGGGTAAGAATAGATTACCAAATTCAGAGTTCAGCGGTCAGAAATTGGGGTTCGAGTGCTGACGGGACGAGTTTAAAATAGGTATAAACTTGTCGGTCGCCTGGGGCGCTAGTCTTTAAAGGGCTGCCGACGGCATGTGTCGATCCCCCCATCAACAAATTGGCAAGTAGCCAACAGGACAGAGAGCGAGCCTTGGGGAGAAGCGCAGAGACATTTTCTTTCCAGCGCGTAACCGATTGACTATGCCGTCGGCATCCCTTTAATCCGGGTCAGTTGGTGAGCGATACCCAGGTCTGAACTTCAAGCTGATACTGGAACTCAAGTCGCTGAGCGCAATTTTTGCTTTGCGGACTCAACACCCTTACTGTAAAGCTTTTCTGTCGGCTTGCGCGCTGTTTGCAGGGGCCCGAGAATTTCCGGAATCTCCGGTGATACAAACTCCACATTGCCCGTTGGCCGCGTAACGATGTGTTTCATAAATTGAGACCTTGAAATCTTGAAAAAAGAACTTTATATCAAAAGACCCTTGAGCGAACCCAGAATCACTGTGAACTTGGTGGTAATGACCAGGGGGCTGATGCCGAAATGTCCGATATTTTGAGACGCACCCGTGGCCTCGCGTTCCTGCGGCTTCTCCTGAACACCAAATTGGGTTTCGATAAAGTGATTTTCAAACATTTGTCTGTAGTATCCTCTTACCCAATCTTTAAAGGGTCTAGTCAACGTACATGTTCAGGTAGATGTCGATCGAAGCAAGCGTAGCCACGAACAAGCCACAGTAGATATACGTCATAGCGCCCGGGAGATACATCTGGGCGAGGATACCGAACAAAAACAGCCACCGATCCCGTGCATATGACGGCCAAAGGGGCATCCACTGTCATTTGACTATTACTGCACCAAAGTGGAGATTTACAAAATTGTAGAAAGTATGGAAAATAATGGTGATATAAAATATGAAAAGTAAAGTAAAATAGGAAGGGCTGATCCTCAGTCCTCATCATGACTTAAAGTTAAATAGAAACTTTTATTTCTAGGAAAAAGGGAACAGATTGGGATCGGAATCAAAATTTTATTTCAAAAAGTAAATGCATTGAGTAGGAAAGCAGGTAGGTAGTTGTAAGAATGAAACGGGTATACTTTTGAAAACCCAGGGTTTATGGGGGCTGGTGAGAGACTGGGACAGATGCGAGATTAGAGAATCAGATCGCGTAATACGGGAGGTTGTTTGATACACACATCCTCATGAAACGGAATTGCCTTTGGGCAAGGATGGCTGGGGTGGGGCGCGCTTTAGGCGTCGGGGAGGGGAGAGAGAGAGAGAGAGAGATAGAGAGAGAGAGAGGGATAGAGAGAGAGAGAGAGAGAGAGAGAGGGGCTGTGGGTGAGAGGACAGACGGCGAGAGCGAAGAGATCGGCGGGGATCCGGTCCCCCGCACAGATCCCGAATTTACAAAGGCCATATGGATGTAACACGAGTACGAGTACAAACAATAAAAAATTCTACAGTAAGAACAAAGTTATAGGATAAAGGAAGCAGAACAAGTTGGATATGGTGAGCGTCAACAAGGCATATGCAAATTGTCTAAATGCCATTGTAGACGAAAAGGTACTGTAGTCGCTATTCGCCAGTTTCGTTGATAAGGACCCTGGGCGGGCGATTCGTTTGATTGGCCCTAAAGCAATTCATGACGGTGTAATTTCGTATTCTGGTCAACACTAGAGATGTCACGCAGACCGACACGACGTCGGGATAACATGCAAATTAGGATGCAAAGTACCGAAACCAGCTCGATAAAACGATTTTTTTGCGCTTTGCATACTAATTTGCAGGTTATCCCGACGTCGCGTCGGCATGCGTAACATATCTAGCCTACACTCATGAGAAAATCCGTAGCCAACGTACCAGGAATAACTGCCTAGCACCGCGATGACAACAAGAACCCCGACCGCAGCAACGTGGATATGTGTACTGAACTCCGGAAATAGGCGGCGGAGATTCATGGAGCCGATACCAGTTAAAAACCCCAGGAGAATGCTTGGTGCTACGACGTCTTTCCATGGAACCATCGTCTGTAATTTAAGCATAACGCCGTAAATTGTCAAAAAGAGCTTCACCAAATGAAATTAAATGGGGTATTTACACTGCCACGTGTACAGCAAGTGTCTTCAGCCTAAGCCTACGCCCTAGCCTAAGTCTATGCCGAAGCCTAAGCCTAGGACTAAGCCTGTGCCTAAGCATGTGCCTAAGTCTAAGCCTGGGCCTGAGCCTGAGCCAAGGCCAAAGCCTAAGCCTAAGCCTAAGCCTAAACAAAACCTTGGCGCGAGATTTTATAGCCTTTTAAGAGCTTTAATAGAACCAATAGCTATAATTTAGCACAGGGGATATTTGGCAAGCTGATGAGTTGGACTGGGTACTGAATGAACTTCGGTCAGATTACCTATCTTCGAACGGCGCCAGAGGCCTGCCATCTGCCGAAGGCCCCGGGTGCTTTTGTCGTCTGAAACGGCGGTTTGAAACCATCGGAGGTGCAACATTTGATGTTCGATCTTGAGCGTTGAAGACGTCGAAAATTTCTGCAAAAACTGAAGATGAGATCAGTGCTTTACCTTAAAGTCATATAACTATTGATTCGCATCCTTCAACTCCGTTCCGACCTTGGAAGACAGTTCAACTTCTTCAGCTTCTTAACTTTTTCTAGCCCGCGTTCGCAACGCTTCTACTACTACGTTTCAGTGCGTTTTCTTCCATTTTTTATCATGTCACTATGTCTCGTGTCGCAAAACGGCTTATCAGCCACGAGACAGCCTGGGAAGCGGCGGGGAGGCCAAAAACGGATGGCTCCTCCTCCGTTTTTGACGGGTGACAAATATTTTGGCGAAAGTTGACGGCCTTTTGGTGATGTGATGATAGATCGTATTTTGTTATAATTTTTACTAGTTCTTTAAGGGTGCTTTAACCGAATTTAAACTTGAAATTTTCGTCGGATATATAGACTAGACCCCAAAAATAGCCGAATCTATCTCGCTTTCTGTAAGATTTTAACGAAATTTTAGCTTTCTTTTTTCTATCGTTCTCGTTCTGCTTCTCTCTATCTCTCTCTCTCTCTGTCTCCTTCGCTCTCTCTCGCTCTCTCAGTCGCTTTCGCTCGCATCTGGATTTACATCCCTGGAAAACCACACTTCCCTTAAAAACAACTTACCATTATACTTTATTCTAAATTTGCATTTAAGTTAGCGGCATTGAAATTACCATGCTCCAAATATTACCATCAACACCCACCTGTTTGGAAATTGCCATTTCGGGCCGACAAACACTCTCCCCCACTCGATGCACCCACCACAACCCCCCGGATAACAGCACAGCCACTCCGCATTGATCCTAGCCACGTGTGTCGCCACTTTTTTCTCTCGCCCTCTTGCCCTTTCCCCATCTCTCGCCTCCCCGTCCACAACTGGCTGCCCACACGAAATTCCGGGGGACAACACTTTTACCCAGGAAAAAGGTTCCCCACTGCCGATTGCCTTGATGGGCTCGGCGTATGCTATGATTTTTTGAGAGGATCTGTCCATTTTGATAGCTTTCGCATTTAAGGTAACTTTTTATAGTTTATTTTTTGGTTTTAGGCTTGTTAAATCTTTAGATAGACGCTTAAATGCCGAAAATTCCTGTTTTAGTTGGGCGAATTTGCATTGTTTTTAGCTGATTTTATTTTTTATGAATTCTTTTGGCCTTAATTCAAGTTATTAAAGAGTTTTGAAACCGATTATATGATGGAAAAACTCTGTGTGTTTTTTCGTTGAACGCTTAAAATGTAAAATTTTAAAACGGGAAATTTTTGGGTTCTTTTAAAAAAGCTTGACTTTTCAAATGATCTAAAAATAAATTGATTTGTTTTTTTTGTCTTTGTTAATGTATTCGTGATATAGACTGCCGGGGTTCAATGCCTATTGTTAAGATGAACATCTCACCCCGGTTTTGCCGGCCAAACGGCCCGATTTCTTGGATCGCCCAGCGAAATTTGACGGCTAACGAGGCGTCCGTTGCGTTGAGGTATTGACTTTTAAAGGTATACGTAATCTCAATTTCCAGACCCTTCTATTTCCTCGTCCACCCCGATCGCTTCGCCCAGCTGCCGAAAATCAGGGAGCAAAATGAAAAATCACTACAGGTGGTGGCAAAAACTAGAAAAATTTCACCTTGAAAATTCAGATTTTCAACGGCTACTTGAACGATCTGTACCCGCATCAGCCGAGCTTGTCGAGCCATCGGCCGATTGAGGCAGAAAAACTTAATATTGTAAGATTTTGAGGTTTAGGTAGCTTTTTCGATCCATAACAAGGTGACACGAGAGATTGAGGACGTGAAGATTAGTCTTTCTGGCACGGATCCGAGGAATATTGTGGCGTGAGTGGTTTTTTTTTGGAGTTTGCTGGCACCATTCCTTTAAAAAAACTTTCCTTAGTGGTAAATCTTGCTGTGACGATGCCGCGGAATTTCGTGGCGTAAGTGGTTCAGTAGACTTTGCTGGTGCCGTCCTTTAGACCCTTCACTTCTTGGAAGTTTAAAGGGATAGAGACAGCCAACCAGCTTTTGTCACTGACTTGGCGGTTGTATAGCTTACTTTAGACACGCGCTGGAGAGATGTCGACTTCCGACTCGCGGTTTGCCAAGAGGTCGAACCCGATCTCCACCTCGATCGGCCCCGAAAACCCATGGCGCCAACCCGAATGACCTGATGGCCATGTACTTGAGGTATGGAGCTAGCCTTATTTTATCTGGCTGTACTATTTACTAACTTCTCACCACTATACTTGTCATCCAGTATACCTAATTCAGACGCAAAAAGAAAGCCTCACCACCGAACGACATCTTCTCGCGACTGAACGGGAAACGTGACCACGCGATTCGGATGAGCAAGGAATACGAGTAAGACGTTGGCGAAAGCTAACCCTCAATTGGAATCCTAGAAGCTCGAAAATTACGATGAAGGACGATATTGACGAGCTGAAGTACAGGACTGGGTTGAAGGATGTGGGTTATAGTTTGCAGGCGTAGTCTGACCGGAAAGCATTAACGATACATTACTTCTTTAAAGTACAAAGCTTCACCTCCCGTTTTCAGGTGATCTGGCAAATCGAGTGGACCGAGGCGCACATGAAGCGTTGTATTCACGGTGTCCTTCGGATGCTCAACCAAACGGATCTGGAAGTGAAAGAGTTGATTCAGAATGCTCTCTACAAAAGCACTCTTAGGTAGGTGCATTACTTCGGAAAAAATCTCGGGTTAGGCAGTATACTGTCATTGAAAATCCCATCGAAAACACTGAAATATCGTGTTTTCCAGATTTGGCCGGGGCTCGTTTGTTTGCTGTGATGGGAGCTTGCAATTTGGTGCTGATCAAGTTCCGGAAATGTGGCAACAGGTGAGCAAAATCAGGTTATAAGGCTTACTTTAAGAGCACTACCGTTTGCAACTTTTACAATCATTTTATTTTCATAAACGTTGATGAAATTCAAAGCTTTTGTTCTTAATTCTATTTCGCGTAATCATCGAATCTGGCTTTTTGGGAAAGTTGCGATCGCCCTCTGTGTATTTCTGGCGATTCTGAAGCATCGTAGCACTCGTCGTCCGCTCCATTTCCGCCTCAATGACCTAAATTAGATATCCGGGACCTTAATTTTTAACAATTTTCCATACACTTATGCGCTTGAGCTACGTGAAGCAAATGTTCAAAAAGAAGATCAAGGCCGAGCAGGCGGCATAGCGACAAATGGCGATCATTAGCTAAATTGTGATCATTCAAAAATCGCCCTTTTCCAACCTTGGCAGTTGTAGTGAGGATCTCAACGTACACATTCATTATTTCTTGAGGCAATGCTGCGAAGAATTAGTCGTTTAGTGGGGGTTGTTGCGAAATTGTTATACCCGGGGGGAGCTGGAAGGAGCTTCGAGTTTTGTAGCCGGGGGGCAGGGGCGGGTTTTTTCGGCATAGAAAAACGCCCGCCGAGAACAAACTAATATGGCTTGGGGGGTTACGATAGTCATGAAAAGGAGAAAAGCTTTGCGGGGATACCGTAGCTTCCGGGAATAGCGCAAAATCGGGGCTTTACGGTAAGCGAAGCGGCAAATTTTTTTTCGAGATATTTACCAGAAAACGCAAAGCTTTGGGCCTGAATGAATTAACAAGGTTTATTTCAATACATTCTCCTAATTGAGATTCCTCTGGGATCCCCCTTGGGGTTTGGCCAGCCTAATTTTTGAATAGAATTCTGAACATGTCGGTCTGGATTTTTTGTATCGAGTACACTTTTGGTTCGAAAAGGTGAGAAATCGATTTATTGTGAACCGTGGATTCACGAATCTTAAAAAAAGATAAACTTCGTCGTTTGTTTAGAAAAACAATAGTAGGGCAAGTATTTGATGCCGTACACGGTTTAACATTCGGTGCTGTCCTCCTTCCGGATGACAAACGGCTTGTTGACGAGGGTGAGCGGGACCTCGGCATCATAGCGAATCCGTTCCATCTAGGATTTCGATTTTAAGGGGCATGGACGAAAGTTGGCCTTGCGTACAGACGCGTAGCATTTCTGTTCTTTCATAAAATTAGCTGTTAGCTAAGAATTTATAGCCACGCCATGCGCCCTCTAGCTCTTTAAGCTTTCAAAGCTGTTGAAAAGGTAGTATTCAAATAGTTTAAATTCGATTTTGCATTTTATAATGCAAAAATAGCAGCCTAAAAATGGTCGAGTATTGTATACTCTACCATTTTTAAATTAAGAAAGCTGTCCTATCCACGTTCTTACCTGTGAACGCTCCACCAACGCCCGGCAGCAATTGAGAAACAGCAGAATGCAAGAGTAGATCGTATACAGCAAGCAGACAGCGATCACCAGCTAGTTTTTGATAAGCTTTTACGCTTCAACAACCCACCTGGCTGGCATAGAGCAGCATCTGACTGTAGCCGTCCATCTTCATTGAAAGTGTACGGCAAATTTTGGGATTTGAAAGGGGTAGTTTGGGCTGTTGCGGAATTACTGGAATCCCGGGGGGACCTGGCGGACCAGCCGATTTGTAGCCCGAGTCCGGCGCCCGTTTTTAGGGTGACAAAGGTCCCGCCGGAGGCTCGGGTAATTAAGATTTTGGGTACGGTATTTGGACTTTTCGGTAGAGAAAAAATGTGTTGGCCTGTTTGGGCTCGAAACAGCCCATAAACTGACTGTTTTCCAGGGGGTGTCTCAAGCTGGGTTACGGTAGCCGTGTTGTATAGCATACGGTAGCCATGCATTTCTGGTGTGTGGTAGTCTGTAAATGTCAGTATTTCCAGAATTTCTGTACTAATTACACCGCCTCTAATCTGCATTCTCGCTCCTTAAAGCTTCCTCTCACTGTTTTTCTATAACGCTATCTCAAGCTCTAGCTTTCTGCCTGCCTCTCTCTAATCTCTCTCTCTCTCTCTCTCTCTCTCTCTCTCTCTCTCTCTCTCTCTGTCTCTCTCTCTCTCTGTCTCTTTAATCTGCATTGCCGCTTCTTAAGGCTTCATTTTCCCGATTTTTCAATATATCTATCTCAAACGCTGGCTTTCTGCCCACCCTAACTCTCTCTCTCTCTCTCTCTCTCTCTCTCTCTCTCTCTCTCGTTCTATCCTCGCTCCTGGCCTCTTCATTTCACTAGCTAGTTGTCCCATTAAAAGTATAGTTTTTAAATATAGGTACATCTCGTTGAGTTTCAGGCTTGTGAAGAAGCCTCCGTCCGTCGCTCCCAGCTTCCAAACCTACACGCAATGACAGCAAAACTTCGCGAACTCCTCCCTGGCGCCACCATCCTCACGCCTCACCATCGTGGCCTCGCCCAGACCACCCAGCAGATGCATACACTCATCGTCAGGTGGGACATCAACCTTTAACAGGATACGGCTTTAACTTCTTGCTAAAGTTCCTAATAATGTACCTTTCAGAATAGAGAACAAAGAACCGGCGGTGAAATCGAAGCTCGGCAAGTACACTGATGGAAATGTGGTACAGGTAGACCGATGATTTATGTACAACTTTCTTAATGTCCCTTAATCTCTTTTCCGGAAGACGTAGAGAACCTCATTTTAGGCGCGAAAATAACCTACGCCGTTTTTAGGTAATGACGTCCTACGACGAGCTAGCGGTCGGTGTCGACGGCCGCCTATGTATCCCATGTAACGTCGACGTCTCTGCCCTCCTTGAATTCTTACAACAAAGTGCTGGTGACGGAAAATTGCTGCAAAAGCGGATGCAGGAAGCTCGGGTACGGATTATTTGACGGCTTCTTGAGGCTTTTTGATTCACTACGAAAGTCTTTGAGTTTATACAGCCTTTTTGAAGCCATCAACCAAGCTTTTTCAGCAAGAACTCGAAAAAGAAGCCGCACTTGTCGCCGGTGAGCTCGGGCTTCCGATTTTGGACTGGGAGTCGAATTTGCCGCTCGATGCTGTGCTGAAGAGCGTCCGGAGGTTGCCGACGATGGATCAGCAGGCAAAGTAAGGCTGGCAGATAGTTTTCTGGAATTCAGTTGGACAAAATTTCGCGGCTATGCCAGCAGAGACCCTTCTGGAAAATTAAAACTAGCAGGGGGTCGCCAACGCCAGCTAGCAGCGCTCATTTTAGTCGTCTCAAACACTTTCCAGACAAGCCAGATACTAGGCAATCTAGCAGAGACTCTTCAGGATCCAAAGGCCTCCTTGTCCAAAATGTTGAGGCTGGCTAGCAAAGATTCTTTAGGACCCAGTGCCCCAAAAACTTCCATTTTTAGAGACCTCATCAAGGGGCTCCACGTCCGCCTCTCCACCAACACTACCGTCGCGATTCAGGGTGACGGGAAGATCTCGCTTCCTCTCGACTGGACATAATCGACCTTTTGTGTTATAGTATTACCCCTATTTTCATACTGTTATTTGTTACCTCTTGTATGTACATATAGGCATAGTAGCTCCTATAGCTTGTCTAGCCCCCGGGGTATTTTGTACCCAGCTTTCCTCTATTCACTTGGCGCTTCATACCGGTTCCACTGGCTCACGGCCTCGCCCAAACTTGCTCGTACGGGATTATATTACTTCTCTTTGATTTTCGATTTGCTCATGATTGATTTATGCTAATTCTTAATACGTGCATATCGCAATAAAGATATATATTAAATCGTGGTTCATTTTCTGCAAAAAAGTCCCCCGAATCCAGCACAAATTTTGGTCATTCCCGGGCTCGGGATAAAAGCATATAAGGGTCGGCGACCTTTTAGCAAACTTTTCATCGGAGATTTTCCCGCCCAGGCCCAGATCTCCGGAGATATACCTTTTTTGGTGCCTGTGTCCTTATTTCCTGCAGCATCTCCATCGTAAAAGTTTTTAGAGTGCCGACTGCATTCTAGAAGATACAGCATTTGAGGGTTATGTTCATTTTTCCTAAAGCTCGTTTTTCCTAAAATTTGTCATTCAATGTGGATGCGTAATTGGTATTAGTCGGCGCTTATCAAAAAATTTTCTTATCATCAGTGTTACTTTTTGACTTTCAATCACCCAAATCTGGGCTGAAAGCGCAAATAAAAGACTTCCTATCACCATGCTAGGCACATCTGAATTTATTACAAGCAAATTTCGATTTTCTCAGCCATAATACTAAATAACTGAGGCCTTTTCGGTATTTAACCGGTTTTAGGCAAAATGAACTTTAGGAGAAATGGATTTTAGGAACGTAAAATGATTTATTGTGGCGCGCAGAGCCTCGGTCAGGAAACTGGAACGTAATAAAAAGGAAAATCAAGGAAATAGAGGCTGACGGGCTTTTTGTGAAGTTTTCTGCCCAGCCAACAATCTCCGGAGATATACATTTTTTTTTGTCTTATGCCATTCCCAACATCAGCTGCCCTATCCATTAGTATCTCACGGTGTCAGGGTGATCTATATAAAAGAGCCTCGCACACCGCTAGAAAATCAGGCTGAAAATCCGATAACCCTCTGACGAATGAGACTCTTCCTGGGCATCCTCCTCGCAGCTGCCGTCGCTTCGGGTAGGTCTCTGGCCACGTCGAATTACTATGCATTTTGCCGTTCTTTTGCGCTTTGCAACTCGTATACAAGTGTCCCAAAAAAACCCCCTCCCGCATTTCGCCATATTACATTCGATCGGTCCCAAAATTGGACCAGGGTTGTATCATACCCTAAATAACCACAAACATGAGTTCTAGTTGCAGCTACAGTAATTTTCGAGATACAACAAAAATAAACTTTATATAACTTTTTCATAGGGCTTTCGTCGGAATCGATCCCCCTAAATATTAAGTAAAAATGATGCGGGAAGGCTTCTTTACCCCAAGGAATTTGATTAATTTTAATCGAAAAAATTCCTTGGGGTAAAGAAGCCTTCCCGCATCATTTTTACTTAATATTTAGGGGGATCGATTCCGACGAAAGCCCTATGAAAAAGTTATATAAAGTTTATTTTTGTTGTATCTCGAAAATTACTGTAGCTGCAACTAGAACTCATGTTTGTGGTTATTTAGGGTATGATACAACTCTGGTCCAATTTTGGGACCGATCGAATGTAATATGGCGAAATGCGGGAGGGGGTTTTTTTGGGACACTTGTATACGAGTTGCAAAGCGCAAAAGAACGGCAAAATGCATAGTAATTCGACGTGGCCAGAGACCTACCCGAAGCGACGGCAGCTGCGAGGAGGATGCCCAGGAAGAGTCTCATTCGTCAGAGGGTTATCGGATTTTCAGCCTGATTTTCTAGCGGTGTGCGAGGCTCTTTTATATAGATCACCCTGACACCGAGAGATACTAATGGATAGGGCAGCTGATGTTGGGAATGGCATAAGACAAAAAAATGTATATCTCCGGAGACTGTTGGCTGGGCAGAAAACTTCACAAAAAGCCCGTCAGCCTCTATTTCCTTGATTTTCCTTTTTATTACGTTCCAGTTTCCTGACCGAGGCTCTGCGCGCCACAATAAATCATTTTACGTTCCTAAAATCCATTTCTCCTAAAGTTCATTTTGCCTAAAACCGGTTAAATACCGAAAAGGCCTCAGTTATTTAGTATTATGGCTGAGAAAATGGAAATTTGCTTGTAATAAATTCAGATGTGCCTAGCATGGTGATAGGAAGTCTTTTATTGGCGCTTTCAGCCCAGATTTGGGTGATTGAAAGTCAAAAAGTAACACTGATGATAAGAAAATTTTTTGATAAGCGCCGACTAATACCAATTACTCATCCACATTGAATGACAAATTTTAGGAAAAACGAGCTTTAGGAAAAATGAACATAACCCTCAAATGCTGTATCTTCTAGAATGCAGTCGGCACTCTAAAAACTTTTACGATGGAGATGCTGCAGGAAATAAGGACACAGGCACCAAAAAAGGTATATCTCCGGAGATCTGGGCCTGGGCGGGAAAATCTCCGATGAAAAGTTTGCTAAAAGGTCGCCGACCCTTATATCCTTTTTATCCCGTATAGTTGATACCCCTAGGCGCTGATCCTAGGGTTAGTTAAATCGCGATTTTTACGGCGCCATGATGGCAAAAAAGATCGTATTATCGATATATGTTAACTGCGAGGTAAGGGGTTCTAAAGAAGTGTTTCCAAAAAAATTCCCCATTTAAATAATAGTAACGATACGAGACCACGAAAAAATGATGCGCGAAAATTTCGGCAGAAGTCGACAGAGGAGTAAAGTATGTTCGGTCACGGTGGGTATGGATGTGACAACGCTCGTTACCGGTAGGGTTGGGTTTTGGCGCAACCGGTTTCCGATCGATCGCTTAGCATACCCTAAACGATTAAATCGTTGGACGAAAACCGGTTTCCGCCTTCGAACCGATTTAAGTCGATTCAGGAGGCAAAACCGGTTTTTGCCAGGCTCGGAAATCGGTTCGGGGTTAAAAAAACCGTTTTTCATGATTCGGTCCCGGAAGTGAAACCGGTCTTTATGCAAATCCCCAGCACACTTATTATTCAAATTGCGGTAATGTAAAGCCTCAAATTCCATAAATTTTTGGAAATCGAGTTCTGTTTTAGCTTGACAGCTTGAAATTCTTAAGGTAAAGAAGGTCTGCCGAATCATTTTCGCTTAACATTTAGGGGGTCTAATAAACTAATATTTATATATTAATTAAAATAAGAAAAGAAATCCCCGAGGGGAAAGAACTCGCCGAAGCGAGCGAATGCCTCCGAAGAGGCCAAATTCGCCGAAGCGAACGGTTCGTTCCCCGAAGGGACAAACTTGCTACGAGAGCAAGCGGGTTGTCCAGAAGGACACAAACCCCACCATGAAGGTGAGGCGGGTACTCGTAAACGAGCATTTAAGAGGATAAAGAAAGAAAGATGTGCCTGTTTCGACCCTCAATCCAAGACAGGCTTAAAATACGTCAGGGTGGGTCTCCTCAGTTGGATCCATGACGTTTTAGAGGTTAAATAAAAGAGGTTAGATGAGATTATAGTTGGAAGAGTTAGGTAATAAAGTATAAAGAATTAAATGTAGAAGGAAAAGAAGCTAATTTAAATGGTGTACTATTTTATGTGTTTTCCTTCTCTATGTTTTGGCCCTCTTTGGGAGGCTTCCTTAGCTCGGGGAGAGCCGGGGAAAGCCCGTGTCGAAAGGAGTGGTGTGTAGGGTAGCGTAATGAGAGGTTAGGCCAAAAGGAAGAAGGGAAAAGTGAAATTAGAAAACGAAAGGTAGAGTAAACTAAAAGAAAAGTAAAGAATTAAAATAAATTAGTTAGAGTTGGGGTTGTTGATAAGGTGGATGAAGTTTTTAGGGTTAATGTCATATTTGAGACTCAGTAAAGGAGATTTTTTTGGCGCTATTTCGGAATAGGGGACCCACTTGGATTGCCTCCAAAACCAATTTTTCTGGGATAGTTTTGTGCGCTGGTTCCGAATAACACCATCCCAGCCCGTGAAAAAGTTTTTTAAAGTTTACTTTTTTACTTTTTTACTTTTTTACTTTACTTATTTTTTACCTTTGAAAGCAGTACGGAGGGCTACTATGCACAGCGCCAATGGACGCTTTGGGTTATATTTGGGTACGGTGGGGTACGGTACTAGAGTATAAAAGGGCAAATTATCATGGCTTTATCATCCTCGTTCAACATGAACGTCGCTGCTGGAATAAATGCCCTTTGGGGTATGAATCTCCTCAAGCTTCATCAACAGCTCGCCCTACCCGATGAGCAATTCGAAGACTGGCTGAAGAGCATGGGTTTGCTGCATGGCGTTCGCACTTGCCCAAAGTGTCGTCAACCGAACATGGTAGTATATGGTACTGGAGCCGGTGGAGGCCGATCATGGGTTTGTAACGCACGCGCGTGCCGCCGTGGCGAGTCAAAACCGAAGATCGGATATTACAAGGGTACCTTCTTTGAAAACACGAAGGCCTTGAAAAAATTTTTCCACTATACCTACTACTACCTGAAAGAGTTCGGCGCCATTGCTCAAATCCAGGCTGAAGTCGAAATGGGTACTGAGGCAGCTGTGCAATGGGGTCAGTGGATCCGTGATATTTTCTCGGAGCACTTCAAGGCAAACCCAAGAACCATTGGAGGCCCGGGTATCATCGTGGAGATCGACGAAACGGCGATTTCGAGCCGCAAGTACAATAGAGGACGAATGCCGGGCCACCAACGCATGTGGATGTTTGGAGGAATCGAACGTGGTTCGGGTCGTGGCTTCCTAGAGCTAGTAGACCGTCGGGACGCTCAAACACTGCTTCCGCTTATTCAACAATACATCCGTCCAGGTTCCATCATCCATAGCGATTGTTGGGCCGCATATGGTGGCATCGGCAATCTTCCTCAAGGTTATCAACATCTAACTGTGAACCATTCGCAAAACTTCGTCGACCCTGTCACTGGTACTCATACGCAAAACGTGGAAAGCCAGTGGTCGAGGTTTAAAAAAGAAGATCAAGAGAGCTAATGGCATGAACACCGCCAACAATGACGATTACGATGATTATCTCGGCGAATTTATTTGGCGACAGCAATTCGGCCAGACCGACGAAATTTTCTACAACTTTTGGTCTCAAGTCGCCACTCAATTTCCATGCGAATAACGCGTCCAATTGACCCTACCCCAACCCAAAGGCCCTTTTTAGGGCCATAACCCAAAGGCTCTCGTCAGAGCCAAACCCACACTCAAAAAACAAACGGCCCTCTTGAGGGCCACAATAATTTTTAAACTAAAGTGAAGACTGAAGGGCATTCGCGCATACAAATTCGGTGCACATAGTAGCCCCCCGTTCGGTTTGCAGACGTGAAAAATACCGATAAAAATCACTTTTTTTTGTAAAAATGTAAGTTTTTACGAGCTGGGATGGTGTTATTCGGAACCAGCGCACAAAACTACCCCAGAAAAATTGGTTTTGGAGACAATCCAAGTGGGTCCCCTATTCCGAAATAGCGCCGATTTTTTGAGGACTTTTTGACAAAGTTGTCTCAAAATTTGATTAGGATAACCATTAGTTTTAAGATGGGTTATTAAAAGTCGAAGATGTTTGAGGCAGTCTTCTAACTGAGTACAACGTCGTATAATCCAATAATTTTGTTGTGGTCTCCGTCCGTCCGGTCCCGAATTCAACTCGAAGGGGAAAAGAGCTAGAGCTTAGGTCTCTTCGGATTCGGATAGAGCGCCCTCAGAAACCCCCAAACTGATAAAAAAATTATGAAAAAGTTTTGATTTAAATTGTTAAAATTAACTTTGAAAGTTTTTCCCTTAGTAAAAGGGGTGGGGGACGGAGGTTGGGGTGATTTTGGACATAGTGAGCCAGGTGGCGCGCGTTTCGTGGATGAAAATTTTCACGGGGGATTTCATTTCTCTTTCTCTCTCATTCCATCCGGTCGGTCGTTATTTTCGTTTTTTAAAAGGATTTCGGCTAGGGGAGGTATCTAAAGCCATCAGGGAGGTATTTAGGTAGTTTTTGAAGGGGATTTCAGCCATGGGGGGTATCTGAAGCCATCGGGAAGGTATTTAGGTAGTTTGGCTAAATTGTCGTATCCGGTCACTAAACCGATTTTGGATTTTTATATGTCAAAATGCTCAACAGGTCGAGCTGATTACAGATCAGTTGAAAAAACTTTTGGGAAACACTTCTAGCTCGAGATATGAAGCTTCAAAGTTCGACTTCAACACGTTCATTATATAACTGTTCTCGCCCCTAGAAGTCCGTTTTCAGTGCGGAGAAAGATGGATAAGTGCTCGATAAGAGCTTAGCTTTACTCACCACACCAAGTTTGAGCCTAAAAATAAGGCTTCGTGCCACCCGGGGCCTAGTCGCTTCGGATGGGTGCGAGCTCGTACAGGGTTTCGAAATCGGGGCGCCCGAGGCGCGCGTAGCGGCCAGGCGCCCCGATTTCGAAAGAGTGGAGCGGCAGCCCATCCGAAGCGACGGCCCACCTTGCCTGACAATGTTTTTTTACCCAAGAAACAGCAATTCCCTTCCATTCCGTTTTTTCCTATTTACAGTTCGCGTATATAGGTGTAATGCGTACTACGTCTCGGCCTGTTTTGAGACCTTGTAAGCTACATATCTCACGATAGCGATTTTTCCCAAAAGTTTTTTCAACTGATCTGTAATCAGCTCGACCTGCTGAGCATTTTGACATATAAAAATCCAAAATCGGTTTAGTGACCGGATACGACAATTTTCCCGGTAGTTTTTGAAGGGGATTTCAGCCATGGGGGGTATCTGAAGCCCTCGGGAAGGTATTTGGGTAGTTTTTGAAGGGGATTTCAGCCATGGGGGGTACCTGAAGCCCTCGGGAAGGTATTTGGGTAGTTTTTGAAGGGGATTTCAGCCATGGGGGAATCTGAAGCCATCGGGAAGGTATTTAGGTAGTTTTTGAAGGGGATTTCAGCCATGGGGGGTATCTGAAGCCCTCGGGAAGGTATTTGGGTAGTTTTTGAAGGGATTTCAGCCATGGGGGAATCTGAAGCCATCGGGAAGGTATTTAGGTAGTTTTTGAAGGGGATTTCAGCCATGGGGGGTATCTGAAGCCATCAGGAAGGTATTTAGGTAGTTTTTGAAGGGGATTTCGGCTATGGGGGTGTAGAATATGGAGGGTAGTTCGAGGCCAGTCGATTACAGTCGCGAAGCGGCTGTAATCGGCTGGTAATGAATGAATTTCACACATAAAAAGACATGCGTTTAGTGCTTGGAATTTTCCCTCGCCATGCCAAAAATCAAAGATCAGATCGAAAGACGGCCTGACGGTCGAGAAAACGGTCATCCAGAGACCGAACACAATTTTCTCCTTTACGGGAGGAGATTTTTCTCAACGTCAAAGGCTCGGCTGGACGGTCAGTTGGAACGAGATAAAAACGAAAATCAAGGAAATGAGGGCTGGCCCTTTTTGCGATTTTGTGTTCTCGGCCAGTTCAGCCAGTTCTGCCGTTTTTTGACGCCGAGCTTTCCTATCCATTTTCGGTATCTCTCGGTCACTGTCCTATCTCTAAAAAGCTTCCGACTGACTGCTGGAAAACGAGACGGAAAGTCCTACAATCCTCAAAATAATGTGGCTCCCCGCGGTCATCCTCCTCGCTTCTGCTGCTCCCTTCATTTTCGGTAACCACTTCGTCATCCGGTATTCGTAATTTTAAGACGAATAAAATTAGAATAGCTAAAATTATGTATTCCAGCGGGCTCGGAATGGGACGGCTACGTAAGTGGCACTTTGCTGGGCAGCGGTAACATCGCGAAAGCAGCAATCTGCGGCTTGGACGGAGTCATCTGGGCCAAGAGCGACAATTTTAACGTAAGAGCTTTATATACCTATTACCAAATTTGTTTTTATCATTTATAAATACGTTGGGACGCCCTTAACCTAGTATTTAGTAGCCTAATACCTCTAAATCCATTTCCATGCAGATTGGCGCAGATGAGGTGGCTGCAATTGCCGAAGCTTTTGGCAACCAGCCCAGCTCTCTGAAATTCGAAGGCAAAGCATACATGATTCTGCGAGTGGGTTCCAGAATTTAATTTTAAAAGTCGTACCTGCAGAATTTTTTTATTTACATTTTTTATCAAATTATTTAATTTATTAACCTCCTTTCTAGGCCAACGCTGAGCAAATTCAGGGAAGAGAGGGCTCTGGCGGATTCGTTGCCTGTAAAACCAATAAAGGTAGGACAAATTCTTCAACTTAAGCAAGGTCGATTTTCTTAGTTTTGAAAGCCAGCACCACACTATAGAAGTCATTTTCCAAATCTTTTTTTAAAAGCCCTTTTCCCAGTAGTCTCTAAAATTGTATGCATTCAGCCGTGATCATCTCCCTCTACACGAACGCCATGAGTCCGGAACGTTGCGCGGAAGTAACGCAAAATTTCGCCGACTTCCTCAAGAGCTCCAACTATTAAATGACACCTCCAAGCCAATACTTTTGAAATGCTTCCGGGACTTCCTTTATTTTATAAAAGTAGTGCCTGTGTATATGTGCCGGCATTTCCGAGACGTTGTTCCGCACCCAGAGGCTCAGGATTGCCCTTTTGGATCGGGAAGTAAACCTATTAGGGGTGGAATGGGCCAGAATGCCGACAGACAGAATTCTTAAAAAAATACCACTTTTGCTATTAAAATCAGGGTGATGTAAAATCTCTCACCACCCTCTTTGTTGGGGAGCAATTAGCATACAGCAGTAGCGGGAGCAGAAGGCGTTTCTAAAATTTTCTCTCGTCATAATTTAGGAAGAACGATGAAAATTGAAGATTTTTATAAGGACGGGCGGGAAGCGGGGCCAGCTTCGAGAGACACGAAGCGGTTTCTCAACCCTGTGTGATGTCAAAAAATCGTTGGAACTGGCAGAAATTTTCTTAGATAATTTGCTAGACGGTCAAGGATCGGCTGGACAGCCAAGCGGAACAAAATAAAAATGAAAATGAAGGAAATGGAGGTTGACTGCTCTTTTCCGTTCTCTTCTTTCTTTTCGGGTTTTCCAACCCCGATATCCTGAGGAACCTTTCTCCTGAGACCGCGCCGTTCCTAACCTCCTACTCCCTATCCATTTTGGCATCTCTCGCACACGGTTATCTATATAAACCACCGGTTCACTGCTAGAAAATCATTCGTGAAAGACGATAACCATCGAAATGATGAGAATCCTGTTGCTCGTCCTCCTGACGACGGCCGTCGCTTTCGGTAAGTCGTATAGGTTGCCTATTTCTTTCGTCATCCTCGTAAATTCATTGCATAAAACCTATTCTGTCGAGCGTTTCATATCGTTTTTGAAGTTGTTCTTCGCGTAAAAATGTCATCGGAATCCCACACTCTCGATTCTCCAAACGAATTTTATTTTAAAATTTTAATTTTAAAACACTGGCAAAACTAATTTCTTCTAGCGATGGATTGGCGCAGCTACATTGACGATCAATTGGTGGGCAGCGGTAGCGTCACCAAAGCAGCGATCGTGGGCCTCGATGGCGCCATCTGGGCGAAGAGCGACCACTTTAATGTATGGTTACTTGATGCTTAATACAATATAACGTCTAGTTGCGTACGCAAAGCCCTCAAATTGATTTTTACAGATTGGCGATGACGAGGCGGCGGCGGCCGCCCAGGGGATTCGTCAACTCGGAAACGCTGTACGCT